TAATTGTGAACCAATTTATCTTGATTTTTAAGCTTCATAAGACCATAAGAAATAAGACCAGGAGTAAACCATTTGGCCCCTCGAGTCTGTTCCACCATTCAATGAGATCATGGCTAATCCAATGTTCCTCACATACACCTTCTTGCCCTTTCTCTGCAACCCTTAGATTCTTGAGCAGTGGGGATAATTTCTATCTCAGTCTTAAATATCCACATGGATTCTGTCCCTAAAACTCTCAGTGGGATGGAGTTCCAAAGACACCCAACCTTTTGAGAGAAGAAATTCCTCCTCATCTCAGTCTTAAATTGGTGCTCCTTAATTCTGTGAAAATGCCCTCTGGTACTAGACTCTCCCATGAGGGGAAACATCCTCTCAGCATTTACCCTGTCAAGCCCCTTAAGAATCCTCTATGTTTCAATGAGATCACTGCTCATTCTTCTAAATTCCAATAATTACAGTCCCAATCTGTTTAGCCTTGCTCATAAAACAATTCCTCCATACCAGGGATCATCCAAGTGAACCTTCTCTGAACTACATCCAGTGAAATGACATCTTTCCTTAGAAAGGGGACCAAAACTGCTCACTGTATTCCAGATGTGGTCTCACCAGCACCTTATACAGTCGTCGTAAGACTTACCTACTATAATAGTAGCAACCCCCTTGAAATAAGGACCAACATTCCAATAAACAAAAAAAAACAAACAATTGCGGATGCTGGAAATTTGAAGCATAAACAGAAATTGCTTGAGAACCTCAGCAGGTCTGGCAGCATCTGTGGAGAGAAAGCAGAGTCTGTGTTTCGGGTTCAGTGAACCTTCTTCAGAACGTTCTAATTGATGTCAGGAACAACTCACTTAGGTTTGTCAAGCAGTAAGTGAGAGTTTCTCACCAGGCAGTGGCCAGTTGCCAAGTAAGGTAGATAACAGCTTGTAAAACACCTTATTAATGCTGCGAATCACCTCACTAATCAGTTTCCTTTGTTACCAAATGTGCCTAAGAAGATGTCAAGAATTCTCAGCATGGAAGTCAGTGAGTACCTGGCAGCTTCAGCTCATCCCTGGGTATGAGGAAGCTCTATGATACTCAGCACCAAAGAGCACCTCAGGGCACGATCCATGGCTATCAGCTGCACACACCCTTAGTCCACAGATATTGGCATCTAACATTCACCAAACCCTCCTGACCATCACGGTAAACTTCCTTAGGAAGTACAGAATTGCATTGCAGTGTGCATTGGCAACTAGCAATTGAAAGACAGCTCGTGGACTTTGCATGCAGGGAAAGGCACCCAGCTCATGTATAGAATGAGGCTGCATCTCAGGGCTGCTCACTTACTTTTTGCTGGGCTTGTTCTCAATATTTAAATTCGCTCTGGAGGATGTTGAAACTGTTCCTTGAAACAAGAAGATAATTGTCAACCAATTTATCTGGATTTTTAAGCTTCATAAGGCCATAAGAAATAAGACCAGGAGTAAACCATTTGGCCCCTCGAGCCTGTTCCACCATTCAATGAGATCATGGCTGATCCAGCCACTTAGCCGACTACAAGATTGACTGCATGCTCACAGCATCCATTCCTTGCCTTGTCTTACTGTGTTGTGCCATGCTGGTTGCTTCAGCCAGAGCTAAAGGTGATCCATACTACCATCCTGACTAGCTTTTCTGCACAGATGCACAGGATATATTCTCTGTATTTTTTTATTCCCACTGAATGGACTTTTGAGGTATGTGCATGGCAGATGCTTCTGGAACTAGAAGTCAGTGCACTGACAAACTGATTGGCACGTGCTTGGCATGTGTGGAATCTGAATTTGTTGCGATTTTCTTTTGATTCATTCATGCAGTTTTCTTGCCAGGCAGGAAGCCAGCACATTAATTCAGCTCTCAAAACACTCAGGCTTGACACCATCCAGGACAAAGTAGCCCACTTTATTGTTTGTGGATACGGTGCCAATCACTCTCTCCAACACCAATGATCAGAAGCAGCAGCACCACCCACAAGATGCACTGCAGAAATTCACCAAGTTTCTTTAGATCACGTCTTCCAAATCCACAGCCACTACCATGTAGAAGGGCAGCAGATACATGGGAACATATATTGCCTGTCTCTAGTTGCCCTTAAGAGGTGAGCTGCCTTCTTGAACTTCTGCAGTGATGAGATGGTGAGTGGCAAGAAGCATTTGCAACACACAAATGCCAGGCAATGGCCATCTCAAATAGGAGACAATCTAACCACCACCACTTACCTTTCAATGGTGCTACCATCACCAAATCCCCCACAATTAACATTCTTGGGGTTACCATTGACCAGAAACTCAGCTGGGCTCACCAATAAACACAGTGCTTATTATAGCAGGTCAGAAGCTAGGAATACTGCAATGAGTAATTAGCCTTCTTTCTCCCGAAAGGACAGGCACAAGTCACGAATGTGACAGAATACTCCCCACTTGCCTGGGTGGGTGCAGCTCCAACAACACTCAAGAAGCTTGACACCATCCAGGACAAATCCAGGATTGATTGGTATAACATTCATAAACATCCACTCCCTCCACCAACAATGCTCAGTAGTATGTACTTTCTACAAGTTGCACTGTAGAAATTCTCCAAAGATCCTTAGACAGCACCTTCCAAACCCATGACCTCTTTGATCTAGAAGGTCAAGGGCAGCAGATACATGGAAATACCACAATCTGTAATTTCAATTCACCATTCTGAATTGGAAATATATCACCATTCCTTCATTGTCACTGGGTCAAATTCCTGGAATTCCCTCCCTAAGGGCATTGTGGACAGCACATGGACTGCAGCATTTCAAGAAGACAACTCACCACTATCTTCTGAACAGCAACTAGGGATGAGCAATAAAATGCTGGTCAGCCAGTGACACCCGCATTCTACGAAGGAATAAAAGCCAAAGTGCACTTGGAACTATATAGACCCACAATGCCATTACAGAGGGAGGTCCAGAATTTTGATCCAGCAACACTGCAGGAACTGATATAATTCTGAGTCAGGGTGGTTAGTAGCTTGGAAGGGAATTTGCAGATGGTTATAGCCCAATGTACCTGCTGCCTTCCACAGTGGTTGTGTGTTTGGAAGTCGTAGTCTAATTAATTTTCGTGAATTTCTGCTGTGCATCCTGTAGATGGTATACACTACTGCTCCTGATCATTGGTGTTGGAGGGAGTGCTTGCTACCACATCCACAAACAGTCATATAGGCTGCTTTGTCCTGGATGGTGTTAAACTTCCTGAGTGTCGTTAGAGCTGAACTAATCCAGGCAAGGGGGAAGCATGTGCGGGCTTCCTGTGTGGCAAACAAACTGCATGTTTATTGAACCAAATGGCCATATTGGAAACTGGGTGGGGACTACTTCTCAGTATAGTCATGGGGGTGCTGCTGTCAGAGAGTCCTGGTATGGTCAGACAGAGGCACCATCTGTACACTGTCCAAAAACTTGGGTACGGTCCTTCATCTGATTGGGCTGCTCACGGCTACAGAATCTGTCCGATTACAGGCTGAAGAGTGGACAACAGTTCCGTAGATCCAGCCTAGTATTCAAGGGAATGATTTTTTGTTACTTGGAGTGTTGCAAAGACAATGGTCAGGGGTCTGGTCAGTCAGGTCCAGGAGGTACTCGTTGAAGTCAGTCAAAAATCTGGGGTGTAATAGGCCTCTGGGTCCTTCCTATGTGGGAATTATCAATTTGTACCCACAATGCACCAGGGCACTGACTGATGCCACCTGTGAAAGACCACACTAGTTCTCAATGGCCAGGTTAGACCTGTAGCCTGAGTAGTAGGATTTGGAAATATGGCTGGCTCCCTGCTCACCGTGTACAGGGTGCCATTGACTACATACGCATGTTGCAAAGTGCCATACTGCAACATTCAGAATTCACAATAGGAAGGGGTTCTGTTTGATTAATATCCAGGTGATCACTTCTTGGAGGTGTGTATCCACTACTCTTGCAGCTACCATTTCTCCAACTTCATGGAGGACAAGATTATTAAGGAGGCACGAGCTATCCATTATAGCCATGGCTTGTGACCCCGTTATGGAATGCAGATACAATACTCTCCATGCTCTGACTAAGAGCAGGCCGGACTAAGTGTGAAGGCTGCTGAAGATGATCTGCCACTTGGACTGGTCATAACTGGGGGGAGGTGGAGGCCTCCACTATAGCCTGTATTGAATATGCCTCACCATCCTGGTCTGCTCTGTTCTGTACAACTCAAGCAGGTAATGAGGTGTTGTAGACACCGAGGAACTGAGGGTGTGGGGGATGGGGCTGGCTCAGTCTTCCGAGGAGTCGAACATTGGGAAGGAGGGAACTCCTTCTATGTGTCAGAGTTCAGCTGTATTGGGCAGCTCAAGGACCTGATGACAGCAGATAAGAGCTGGATGCAGCAGACTATTGTGGAATGTAAAAATAAGTCACTGGTCATGATGCCAGCATGATGGGTGCAAACTACACCATCTCTGTTTTGTTTGTCTTCAGTTTTGGTGCTTTTAAATAAAGGCTCATGTTTGAATTATCTGATTGCTTGCCTTTATGTGATGTTCTCCTACTGGATAATGATACAATGCTGGTGACTAGTGGGAAGTGGTGACAGAGTAGCAGTAACCTAGAGAGGGTGTTTAGATGGGATGTAGCATACATTCCCCGTAATTTCTCCAGCTGCTGTATGGATTTCTGAGGTCTGTGCACGGCAATGGCCGGAGAAACTGTCAGTGAATACTCTGGCACTGCAATCAATGTGAATAAACCCTTTGAGCAGCCAAACAGCTTAGAGTGAATATTGGATGTAGCTGAAGATATATAAATTCTGTGGCCTGGTAGATCAAACAGTAACTAAGTTGAGAGAAAGGGTTGTGTGTGACAGATTGTCAGCCGTGCCACATTTTGGCTTTGCAAATCTAAAAACAATTAGAAAATGGATGTGAAATCATTTTTATTATTATTCATACATTTTTCTAAATGTCTAATTCTAGCAGCAGCCTATTTTTTCTGATTTCAATGTTTTGTCAACATCCTTGAGAGCCATCTGTAATCTAGATATACAATGCTCTCTCGGGACAAGTCTTATTTCTCTCATGTCTTCCCTTTATAAATGTCTCTGGGGCTCTTCTATGCAACTTCTTTCAATAACATTCAAGACTTAGGTGCTCTGTTATTCCAATTACAAAAGCTTTTTCACTGCTCCCAAGAATATCAGTCTCGCACAGGAAGTATTCTTGTGTTACACTCCAGTAAAATTACATTTGTGTGCTGCACTCTCTTTTAATTGCTATTGAGCAACAGTCCTTTTCTGCTGACAATTCTGAGGGCCAACTCGCAGTCACACCACCTGAAGACCAAATGTGATGCATGTTTATGATCCAGCACAAGATACTGTGACTGTGTGTTAGTGTCTGTCTCTAGTACGTACTGTAGAGACACTGTGTGACAATGCATGAGACCAATTGCCATCTTTTGCTCAAATTGTCAGTCTTAATGCAGAGCTGAAGAAGCCCGACTGCAGGTTCTTAAGATAAACAGATAAATTGGGAGCAGCAGCAGATCTTTTAATTCCTCTAGTCTGCACTGCCATTCAACATATCACTGCTGATTTGATGTGGTCTCATCTCCACATTCCAATCTGCCGTCAATACCAGAGATAGTTGGTGTTTTTCTAATTTCGCTGAACTGAGCACAGTATACACTCTCTATTTACTGTGCTCCCAACTATAGCAACGGGGTCCAAGAACTGTTTTCAAACCACACCCCTCAGAGAGCTTTTCCTCTGGGGCCAAAGGCAGCTGCAGTTAGCCCCATCCTTCAGCGTAGAAAATAAGTATATTAAATAATATGAATGTTTCATGATGAAACAGAATTGTTTTAAATATAGTTTTAATCATCTTTCAAGACAAGTTTCTTGATTTAAATAACTGCAGATATTTTGGAGAGTTTTCATTTCTAACCTCCTTTATGTACAAGATTGTACTTAGTGCCCTAGTTTTTTTCTGATCCCAATGGTGCTGATGTGTTTGGTATACAATCTAGCTGCTCTCTCTAGTACCTTGTGTACATTTCATGTTTTGTTGCAGCAGGGAGATATGACAATCTACTCAACTGTTCAGATGCAGCAGAGCCGAGCCTTGACTTTTTTTTTCTCATTTAACTACATACCTCATGTTGTAAATGTGTTTGTACCATGCTTTAGTAATTTAAGAATTACATAGGACACTGGGTAAAGACAGTGGGTCTTATTTCCCAGAGAAAATCTACTCTGTTCTGTTTCCTGATGATCCAAGAGATGAATGGTTACTTTGGGTGGTTTTAGGTTTCCATTTCTGGACTTTTATTCCCAAACCAGCATGGAATTTGAACTCCTAGATTTATACTGAATGTCACTGAACTATTGTTATGTGTATTCTTTATCCTTTGCAGCACAGTTTGCATCAGGCTAAGCAGCAAAAGTGACCCCGGTTGCTTAATTCTTTTCCCTTTCAATTCCAGAATGCACTTTGGAATCCCTTAACCGAAGATAAGGAGTTGCCATGTAGCTTGGTTTATAAGGAATTCAAGTAGAATATTATGACGAGACAGCATCCTTTATTTCTTTAATCTCATCCAGCAGGTCCTCTGGACGAGGATCCAACAAGTCTGAGTCTAGTATATTGAAGTTCTCATTGGTAAGCACTGAAGTCAGCACATCTTCAGTCCGGTGTAAATCGAACACTGAGTGACACAGTCCGAGAGTGGATAGTTCTGCAGGAAATGTACTGTGGCAGGCTGCTGAGTCTCCTGACGTAGCCTCTAATACTGCTATTCTATTTCTCGCTATTATTTTCAGAAAGGTGTAGAATTCATGGTAGTTGATTCCAGTGCACGATTTCAACAGCAACTGCAGCAAACAGGAATAGAACAGAGACAATGGCCATCAGTGAGAATACAACTTGTATGTTAATAAAATTTTGAGGTTTTGGTGGTTTCTTCAAATGTTTAGCACATTATAAATTTAGAGGTATGACTGTATCATTTCTAGTTTTCTAAATCTACAATTCGTCATATTGTATATGTGGAGATCCACGTTTCTTCACTTCAAACAGTGTTTGAAGACTGTTTTCACCTGTTAAATACAAACACGCCATTGCATATTTTTCTATTTAATATGTAATATTGTGCTTCAGGATGTTTGTGGGAAGGTGTTAAACACTGTCCAGATTTGTGTTAAGCACACCTAGACCATGTTAGAACAATCAGATACAGAGTAACGCTCCTTTCAAAAATATGTCGCAGGTCTAGTCGAATGCTTACATTACTGTATTCATAATCAAGAGATCTAAATTAGCTGTTGACAGAACACAAACCCAAATCCCACCATGGCGATTTGAATTTGTTTAAAAAACTATCGATGATGGTAAAAACAAATTGGTTCACTAATTTCCTCAGGAAAAGAAACCTGGTATTTTTATGCATCTCGCCCATCATATGATATGGAGTCACTTCATATGGTTGGCTCAAAATTGCTAGCAAACCAAGCTTTAAATGGCAACAAATATCAGATTTAAGTAGTCAAAGAAGGTAGTCTCACTACAATTTTTTCAGTGCCATAGCAATGGACTATCAATAGCGGCTCTGAAGATGATGCTCAAATCCTGAGAATGAACAAAATTTGTATCACTATGTTGTATTGCATTTCACAAACCAGCTGTTTTACTTTGCTCATTTATGTTGAAATTCAGTCACTGCTGACATGAAGGGAAAGCAATAAACAAATGAATTACTCTCTCCTCCAATACCTGACAATGTTGATTCCAACCCTCCATATGGTTCTCCCACTCTCTGATCTCTTCCTGGACTGCCTTCAGCTCCTGCTGGAGGAATTGCCACATGATGTCTATGCTGCAGCCGTTCAGCCAGTTGTGATTGATGGAGATGGTGTCCTCCTGAACAGAAGAACATAAAATGATTAATTATAGTTTATACAAAGTCAGGAGAGAAGAAAACATACCATGATGCGCAATCATGATAGAAAAACTGTAAACCCAGCACCACAAATTAAACCAGAACATAAAAATGTGTTTCAGTTATATCAAGTTGTAGGGCATTTGTGTCTCAAGAGTAATGCCTTGGAAATCCCATGTGAAGATGCACATAACTTAATGGGATACCCTATCTTGCAGGCACCCATCTTAAGAGCTCAAATTTTATAGCAGCAACAGTAAGTTGCAATTAGCCAACAATCCTCAATATTATAGCTGCTACAAATCATTGTCATGGAGGAATCTACAGGGAGCCTCCTAGTTGATTCAAAACAGATGCAAGTCTTGAACATTTTCCTTTTGTTTGCAGAGTCGCCTATAGCAAGTATAAATGAGCCAAGTTACGAACTGGACTGATTATTTTATTTTGGTTGTTAATGTAACTATTAGGATTGTTCAGCAACTGCTGCCCAATTGTGAATCACATCAAACAGTTGATCATTTGCTTTGGATTTTGCAGGTACAAGCTGGTTCAGTAAGTCCGTACTCTGCCTCGTACAGCAACCAAAGGAACTTGCTATTTGATTCAATCATCTGATCACTTGAACTTTTAGCCTATATAAATGACATCACACAGGTACTGAAATTCAGGGATAATATCCTCAATTGTGTGGTCAGCAGAAAGTCTTTTCACAGAGAAGTCAGTATTCTGTTTGTGGAAAATACTATTTGTGTACTAAATGAATTGAAATGAAACAGCATAACTTGTTCTTCAAATATTTATAGCTATTTTGCCTTTTCAGGAGAACTTGAGTTTGACTGGGCCTTCATCAGGTCCAGATGTAGTGGTCCGTTTGCAACAATGAACAGTAGTATAAACATGATAGCCACTATCCTGCAGTTAACCTTTTAAAGATGTGCAAATGGCTTGGGGCATATTTACAAGATTGCTAATAAAGCCAAAATTATAGAGCATAGAGCTTCATGAATCCCTACGTCTACATTGAATGGTCAAGGTTGCTTTAGGATATATACAATATATTACAAGATTTGTTTTCTATACCAGATTGTAAACTTGATGGTACCATCCACTTGGAACAAAGATGACCTCTCCAACACTCTGCACCACTTCAATGGGTTGACTGCACTGGCTGTATTTTGGATAATGATCCTTGTCCTGCAGAACTGTAGACTGGACATCATAAGCAAGGTTACCACTGCGGTCCTTCAAATGTTCCTCTTCACCAGGTGGGAACAGCAGCCACTTCTTCCGCCCACAGATGTTGGCTGACCAGCTGTATGATCGGAATACATCAGCATGAAATGGTGTCCTACAAGAGGGAGGAGGAAAGAGAAATGTATCATGCCACTATGAAGTTGGACATTTCTTTGCTAAATTCCTTTCTTGCTTTTTACGATATCCATTTATCCTTTAATCTAATATCATAATTTTCCATCTCAAGAAGGGATCAATCCAGTAACATTCCCACTTGCCCTTGATAACCTTTCACACCTTTGCTTAACAATGATCTATTTATGCCTTCCTTCAAAATATTGAAAAACTCTGATTGCACACCTTTTGCAGAAGGGAGCTACAAAGCCTCACGACCCTCTCAGAGAAAGAATCTTTGCTCATCTTTGTCTTGAAAAGCTGACCCCTTATTTTTAAAGTGTGACCTTTAGTTCTAGAATCTCCCACAAGAGGAAACATCCTTTCCACATCCATGCTGTCAAGATCCCTCAGAATCCTACATGTTTCAATCGAGTACCTTCCCACTCATCTGAAATTCTACATCTAGAAGCTTAACCTGCCAACCTTTCTTCTCATTCTTGATATTGATCCCGTAAGCCTTCTAAGAAATACTTCCAACTCATTTACACTTATTCCTTTAAAAGGGTTTGAATGCTGTACATAGTACTTCAAGAGTATTCTTGCCAATGCTCTGTACAACAGATGTATAATCTTACTTTTGCATTCAATTCTCCTCGCAATAATGATAAAATTCTATTAGCTTTCATAATTACTTGTTGTAAGTGTACACTAGCCTTTTGCAATTCATACATTAAGACACCTAGATCTCTTCATATCTCTTTCCCACATTATACTCTATTTGCCAGATCTTTGCCCACTCACTCAATCTATCTATATCTCTTTGTAGCATACTTGTGTACTCTTCACCACTCACTTTGTGATGTATTATTTATTGCATCATTAACAAATTAGGCCCTTCAATCAAGTCATTTATAAAAATTGTAAGTTGAGGCCCCAGCGCTATCCCTATGGCATACCTCTCATTACATCTTGCCAACAAGAAGACCCAATTTATGTTTCTGTTACCTGTTAACTAAACATTATTCTATCTATGTCAATATGTTATCCCCTGCACCATGACCTTTTAATTTCTGTCGTGATCTTTGCTGTGGCATCCTATCAAATATCCTCTGGAAATCTAAATACAATATATCTATTGGCTATTCTTTGTCCATAGCAACTGATACTTATTCAAAAACATCCAATAAATTGGTTAAACATGATCTAACCATCACAGAACCACATTGACGGCGTCTAATTACTTTGACCTTTTCTAAATTCCATGCTATAATATCTTTAGTACCATCATCTGATATTTTCTTTACAACAAATGTTAAGCTGACTGGCTTGTAGAAACTTGCTTTCTTTTTGAATCAATGAGTTTACTGCTTTCCAATCTAATGAAACTTTCCCTAATCTAGGGAATCTAAACAAAAATTAAAATCAATGCAAAACTATCTCATTACACACTTTTTTAAAGATCCTGAGATGAAGTCCATTAGAACTCAAAGACTTGTCAGACTGATGTACCAACTCTGCTTTCTCTCCATAGATACTGACAGACCTGTTGAGTTTTTCTAGCAATTTCTGTTTTTGTTGCTGTTCCAACTGCTTGCTCAATATAACTTCCTCAGAGTTGTAATTTTCCTGAGCTCTTCCCTCACTTCCATTTCCTGATTTGCAAATACTTTTGAAATATCAGCTGTATCCTCAAGAGTGAAGACTCCTGTAAAATACATCTTATTTTCCATTACTAATTCGCAACACTAAATTTTTACAGGACCAATGATCAGTTTATTAACTCTTTTCTTTTAATATTTACGGAAACTCTTACTATCTGTTTCTTTATTTCTAGCTAGTTTTCTCTCGTATTCTAAAGCTTTTTCTCCTTACTAATCTTTTAGTCATTCTTTACTGTCCATTATATTGTCTAATTTTCTGACCCACTACCTATTTTTGCACTGATGAGAACCTTCTGATTAGCTGAGCTTCAGTTTATTACAAAGTTGTATGTTGAAAAGCAGTCTGAAACATTTTTAGCCTAGGAACTGTAAACATATTTCTCTGTCTCTCTCTCTCCGTTTCTATGGGGGATAAAGACAGATAAACCAAAACAGCTTAAAATAAAAAATTCTAAAAAAGACCTAAATCTGCAGAATCAACTGTCAAAGTGACAAACAATCATTGCTTTACTAATAAGTATCAATTTAACCCATCCATGAAATCTGCACTTTTGATCTTTAGAGTTTTACTTGTTCTGCTTAAGGAACAATGGAGCACTATTATTAGTGCATTCTTCCCAGTTAAATAATGAGAATTGATTTTAGACAGCAGACAGGGCCTCGGTTTAAGGTCTCATTCGACAGATGGAATACTGTACTGCTCACAGTTACAGGAATTTAAAGGACAACCTGTTTCCTCTGGTATCAAGGTCAATAACCAGTGGACACAAATTTAAGATAATTGGCAAAACAAAAAAGATTTCCTGTTTGCACAGTGAATTATAATTTGGAATACACCATTTTAAAGGATGGGGAGTGCAGATTTAACAATAACTTTTAAAGAGAAATTAAAAATATTCCTGAAAAAGAATAAATCCAATAAAATTTCAGGAGAAATCTCTTCACAGAAGAAAGTAAAAGTGGTTATGATGAAGAACTCTGTATCAAAATAGTTGTGATAACAGCATTAGATGTGTTGAAGGGGAATTGAGAAAAGAACATGAGGGAGAAAAGAAGGATCTGCTGATAGATTTAGAAAGATGGGAGGAGGGTCATGTGGAGAATATACATTGGCATAGATCAACTTGGTTGTCTGACATGTTTCTGTGTTGTGCATTCTTTGGACACAATCTTCTGAGTTTAGCGGGTACCTCGAGTGCTTCCTGAAAAAGCAGTGAGGCACTGGTGCTGACTCTTAGCAGGTAGACCAGCCCATCAGGTGCATAGGTACATATACTTAGGAGGACAACAGCAGACCATCTCATGACTGAGGACCCTGGAAATGACATCCTATCACCACTAGAGCTGGTCAATCAGAGGTCAGCCATTCTAACACATGGCATTGTCACAGGGGTGTGGCTGCTGCCTGAACAATAACCCCAGGAGTCCCAGGATTGAGGAGCAGGCTGTCTTGAAACAGCAAAAAATTCAGCCCAGGCAGGAAGATGTCTTAAGTGGCAGTCATAGAGTCATAGAGTAATACAGCATGGAAACAGGCCCTTCAGCCCAAACTGGTCCATGCTGACCATGGTGCCCACTCAGCTAGTTCCAATTTGGTCCCTATCCCTCTAAACCATTCCTATCCATGCCCCCATCCAATTTTTTTTTTAATGTTGCTACTGTACCTGCCTCAACCACTTTCTCGGGCAGTTGAACACTTATGGATTTCAAGTGGAGGTGGGACAGCAGCATCACACAAGTGCCTTCCCACAGGGAAGAGACAGGAAGTTCTGGCTACGTGTTCTGATGTCAACTCTCTCATTTGTAAGGGCTCCTGCTTTTTCCATGCTTCCTGTGGGACTAGAACATTCTGATCTATTCAATTCTACGTAACTGTGTAAGAGCTTTGCATGCAATTCATTGTCTCTATTTATGGACAACTCAATATATCATCAGTTACAGGATGGAACACTTTCTGGCATAAGATACACTTACCATGATCCTTTGGGGCCCATGTAAACAAAACGATAATCGTCCAATTGAATAGAGTCCCAGTATTCATTCAGCCAGTCAGACTGGAAGAAGAGAGGAGTACTGTATACCCCATGATCAGGAAAAACCCTAAAACCCAAGAAATGACAAGGTTTATTCAGGAATATTACAAGTGTAAGAAAAGTCCATCAAACCTGTTCCTTTCATAGACAAAATAATCTGACCCATCTGGTTTAATCTTGTATATTTTGTTCTTGATTCCTCTAGTCCTCTGTTCATTGTCCTAGTTAAACAGCTTGCTCAATCCCATATCCATATCTAATAACATCTGTAAGTTTTTGCTTGGGTTTATCTTCTTTCAGTCATCCTGGTCACTCCTTACCAAATTTCATTCCAGTGCATCCATTTAAGGCCCTTTTAACCTTTTATGCTGAACTAGGATTCATTGTTCAGTCCGTGAGCCTTCAATGTCCAGTTGCTGTAGCTCCAATACGTTCAGTACATGAGAGCAGAAAGATTTAAAAAAGACATGAGGGTGGTTCATGTTTGGAATGAACTGCTAGAGGAATTGATGGATGTGGGTACGGTTACAAGTTTAAAAGACATTTAGATATGGACATGAATAAGAAATAGAGGGATCTGGGCCAAGTGCAGGTAAGTGGGACTAGGTTAGTTTGGGATTATGGTCGGCATGGACTAGTTAGAGCAAGGAATCTGTTTCCGTGCTGCAAGACTCTATGATTCATTTTCAACTTATTGCCGGTTTAATTTATTTGAGTTATGTACTCTATAATTTTGGAAACACATTTTCAATCTTGTTCTTTCATCGTTGACTACCTAGGATATTGAGGAGAGCACAAGACTATAGACACAGTAGCAGAAGTAGGAATTCAGCCTACTGAGTCTGCTCCACCATTCAATGAGATCGTTGCTGATCTAATAATCCTCAAATCCACTTTTTCCCAATGCCTTCCTTCCCCTTACTAGTTAAAAATCTATCTTCGCCTTGAATACACTTACCACAGAAGCTGTGTCATTAAGAACTCCAAAGATTCACTACTCTCTGAGAGAAGAAATTCCTCCTCAACTCTCTCTTAAATGGGCAATCCCTTACTCTGAGATTATGCCCTCTGATCCTAGATTCTCACACAAGGGGGAAAAACCCTCTCAGCGCTTACACTGTAAAGTCCCCTTGGAGTCTCGTACAGTTCGAAAATGTCTCCTCTCGTTCTTCTAAATTCCAAAGAGTACAAGCTCAACTTACTCAACGTCTCCTCATACGACAATTCCTCTATACCTGGAATCAATATAGTGAACCTTCTCTGGACTACCGCGAAATGCAGTACATTTTTCTTTGATAACAGGGTCAACTGATTGCAGTATTCCAGACATGGTCTGACTAGTGCCTTGTGTAGTCCACTCACTCAGCTAGTCTATAACCCTCTATAGAATCATAGAATCCCTACAGTGTGGAAACAGGCCCTTCGGCCCAACAAGTCCACACCGACCCACAGAGCATCCCACCCAGACCCATCTCCCTAAAACCCCCCTAATCTACACATCCCTGAACACTGTGGGCAATTTAGCATGGCCAATCCACCTAGCCTGCATATTTTTGGACTGTGGGAGGAAACTGGAGCACCCGGAGGAAACCCACGCAGACACGGAGAATGTGCAAACTCCACACAGACAGTCACCCGAGGGTGGAATCAAACCCGGGTCCCTGGTGCTGTGAGGCAGCAGTGCTAACCACTGTGAGCCACCATGCCGCCCCAAAGGCTCTGTCATCTTTACTACCTGTCTTCCCACCTATTTTTGTGTAATCTACAAACTTGCCAATTGCACATTTACTACCCTCATCCAAGTCTTGATAATGCAGTCCCAGTTGTATTCTACTAGTTACAGGTTGCCATCCTGAAAATGACCTCTTTATCCCAACACCGTTTTCCATTAATTAGCCAAATTTCTAAACATACTAATATACTGCCTCCAACACCGTGTGCTTTTATCTTATTAAATAACTTATGTGTAGTGCTTTATTAAACACTTTTTGGAAATCAATAGTTCCCTTTTGTTCATCCTGCTTGTTAACTCCTCAAAAAACAGTAAATAAATTTGTCAGACATGATTTCTGCTTCATGAAGCCTCGTTGATTCTGCATGTTTATATTATGTATCCAATCATGCTGTGGGTTCTAACTTGGAAAGAGTTAATAAGCAATAGCTTTCGGTAATCAAGGTATGTGTGAGAAGTTTACCAATCAGGAGTGGATGGCTCTTGAAGAATCGGAAAGGGACCGAGAAATTGAGTGTCGACCTGTGCCCTTAGCTGAACTGGAAAGTAAGAACTGTATGCCCTTAAAGTATTAATAGGTGTTATTTATAACCTAAGCAAGATTTCCTGAGTTACGGCACAAGACTGATTACAATTGCCTTCTTGGTTAAAGTTCCAATTGAACAGATTAATATTAGGATTTGAGATTAAATTATATGAGACGCCTAAAATTTACCCGCAACAATCGTCCACAAAATCTCCCTAAGTAAGTTTGATGGCTCAGTACAGAAAAGAGCTTACATTTACACAGTATGGAACTGGAGGAACAAAGCAGGCCAGACAGCATCAGAGGAGCAGGGAAGTTGACGTTTCGGGTAGGGACCCATCTCTCAGATAATAACCAAAACATTTCAAATGAACTGATGAAGTGCAGCGACTGCTCCTTTGTCAGGAAGGCAGGGTTTTTCTATTGTGGGGCCTCATCTACATAGACTAGGTTAACACTATCCAGTTAATTAATTTGGCACCATTTCAATCAGGACGAAATAGGGGAGACTTTCATCCCATTGATCACAACTGCATTGTTAGATAACTCATCGCATTACCTAAGCTTCGATTACTGTGGGGCTCAAGTAGAATGACTTGACAGTTTGAAATGAAAAGCAACAGGGGAATTATCCTGCATACACTCACCTGTGCATGTGCCAGTCTTTCATGTACAAGCAGCCCTGTGGAGATGAATAGCCACTCTCCCTGTGTTCTCTCCAGTAATTGAGGTAGTCCCTTAGTGGGATGTTGTGCTTTGGATTTGCATTGTATTCCTTCACATCACAGTTGGCCACAGGGACGATAAAATCTCCTATAAAACAAAACAGCAATAAAGCAGAATTATATGAAATGCACATGGAGAAAGAACACAATTTCAGAATTAAGTACAAAAATAACACTGCATAAAGTTTGAACCTGCAAGGTGAGTTACTACGTGTATTATTTAACACATTTTAAAATTTATTTCTTCATGGCATTTTTTGAAGTGTGGCCGTCGCTGGCTGGCCAGCATTTATTACCCGTCACTAGTTGCCCTTAAGAAGGTGGTGGTTAGCAGCCTTCTTGAACTTCTGTACTCTGTGCTATAGGTTGGCCCGCAATGTCCTTAGGTAGGGAATTCCTGGATTTTGACCCAACAACTTGAAAGTTTTTCAAATCTGGATGGTGAGTGGCTTGAAGTAGAACTTACAGGTATCTGCTGCCCTTTTCCTTCTGGATGGAAGTGGTGTCTAAGAGTCTTAGGTGAATTTCTGCAGTGCATCTTTAGATAGTACACACTGTTATTATTAAGCTTCAGTGGTGGAAGGAGCTTATTCCTTTGTGGATGTGGTGCCAGTCAAGTGGGTTGCTTTGTTCTGGATGCTATCAAGCTTCTTGAGTGTTGTTGGAGCTGCGCTCATCCATGCCAGTAGGAAGTATTCCATTATACTTCTGACTTGTGCCTTGTAGATGGTGAACAGGCTTTGGGGAGTCAGGATATGAGTTACTTGCTGCTGCATTCCTAGTCTCTGACCTGCTCTTGTAGCCATTGAATTTACGTGGTGACTCCAATTGAGTCGCTGTGCAATAGTAACCCCAGGGTGTGGACAGTGGGGAATCACTGACGGTAACATCATCTAAAGACAAGAGGCAGTGGTCAGCTTGTCACTTATTGGAGATGATCATTGCGTGGAATTTTTGCCCTTCCATAATTGTGCTTGAACTGTTAGGCTATCAGAGAGAGTAGTGATGAGCCAACCACATTGCTGCGGGTCTGGTGCCACACGTCATCTAGACCAGGTAAGGGCAGCAATTTTCCTTCTGGAAAGGGCATCAGTGAATCCATCTGAAATAATCTCACAAAGGCTGGTATCCCGACACCAAGTCACCATTTATTTACATGTGCACAGTATATATGACGCTGACCCAGCTATTCAGAGCCGGTTCCTAGAGTGAGCAGATCCCCTGACACTCCTGTTTATATCTGTCAGCCAGGACTCCCTGAATAGATCAGGTTAACAGTCCCAATCAGGGAACTCATATTCTATGCGATCCACCCAGCTGACCTCGTTCCAGTCACTATACCATCAATGACCAAATTTCAGAAAAGATCTCAGAAGTGCATCCCACAATAATTAAATTTCTACTTTACATAGCCACATAACTCCAAAACATGGAAATGACGCAATTTCCTAAAACAACTAATTGCTAAATCAGCAGGTTGCTAGGGTTGGCTCACTTCCTTGCTGCTGCAGAGGCATGTGGTCAAGATCATGTTTTACCCTAACTCCCAGCACTTTCTGGTATTGTGTACTGAAGTTCAGAAACGTCTGCCTTCCTGCTCCTCTGATGCTGCTTGGCCTGCTGTGTTCATCCAGCTCTACACCTTGTTATCTCAGAAACCGATTTCTGTGTTGACACAGTTTAACGTAGCAGGCAGCAACAGTTTTTGCAGTCTGATTAGCATTTGAAAGCAAGAAAGAGTTCATTTATGTAGTGCCTTACATTACCTCAAGACATACCAAAGTATTTTACAGTCAATAACATAGTTCTGACGTGTACTGGCTGTTAATGCACTTAAGAACTTCCAGATAGTGAATTCCTCATGTTGCCCTTGGGCTGATATGGGGGCGAGGTACAGCAGAATCCATGTACTTTACAAAATGAGTAAATACTAATCTATTATTCACTGGTTCACCACCAGAAGTCACATTTCCGGTCATTAGTTTGCTTGGAAACTTTTTGAGGGTGAAACAAAGCTTTGTGTCATTTCTGCCTCCAAGGTGAGCTGGAATCCACATCATAGGGAAAACATACTTCTATCTCTGCAACATTGCTTGATTCTACTCTTTTCTCAGTTCAGCTATTGCTGAGTTCCTTATCCATGCCTTTTTCTTTCTTGACTTAACTATTTCAATTGTCAACATCCCACATTCTATTCTCTAGAAACTTGAGGTCATCCAGAACTCTGACCTCATGTCGTCACTGTCTGATTCACCCATTACACCCTTGTCTACATTGGATTTGAGTTAAGTAACAGTTTAACTATAAAATTCTAATTTAGCACTACTAGATTCAAATGTTGTTGAAATAAAATGTACACTCTGTCACAGTTTTGTCTTGCACACATCAGGACAACATGGAAGGATTCAGGTTGAAATTTATACTGTATGTGAGTGCTGATTGATTGGCAAGTGAATGCTGATCGGTTGGCAATTGGAAAGTAAATGGTGGAGACATTGCAATGGAGAATGCAATATCCTCACTGGTCAGTACACAAGTTGGGATTCCTACCATTCCATGCACTATAAAATATCTCTTATTGGTAACCTTGCAAATGAGGCCGGAGCAATTTGCTCACCATGAAAGCTTGTTGCTGAAGTATGACACATCAAAGCAATTCCTGGGATAATGACTATCTTGGTCAAATCATTTCTCACAGTACATCATGCGAACTTGAGAACGGTGCTAAGGTAGCCACTGTTAGTCATGAAAAGTGCAGTCTACCTCAGCTTATACTGGAACAGTAAAGTATCTCAAATGTTTGAGCGATGGGTGAGCTAGCTGTTTCATGCTGTTACAATGCAGTAGAAACACTACTGATGTTGCCATAAACAGGATGCTGCTGTCAAGCTGGAAAGGCGTTCTGCCTATTGCATAAAGATAACATATGAATTTCAGTGCTCATGTGAAACCAGGTATGTGGGCCATATACACTAAAGACTGGTTGGTTGTGTCAAATCCTATATCTCTTTCGATGTTCACAACAGTCAAGGCACTCATCATATCCAACTAGCCCATGTTTTCAAAATGCACAACACAGCGTCCACATTAGATATGATTCGGCAACTGGATAACATTTACTGGAAAATCCTGAGCGTGCAAAGAATTACACTGAAACTATTTTAAGATTGTCAGTCAAGAGTCACAGTGTGAGGTACTTGCGTGTATTGGAACCTACATATAATAGCATGCAGTGCTCCAGATATAACATGTAAATGCATTGTATCCATTTCAACACAACAACAGTCATTCACTGATTCATTTCTCATGGCAATGTTTTGATGAATTAGAATCAACTTACCTAGTTTAAAATATAAACAAAACTTAGCAGTTACCTATCGGTCAGCATGAACTAATGCATTCTTCACTGCAACATTTCTACCAATCAGAATCCTCTTGCCAAGGAATCAGAGATTCTCCTCTATAAATATTGGCTTCCCTTAAAACTGATATTCTTGAGCCCTGTCCGAATGAATGCAAGACAAAAAGCTTTCAGGAATTCTAAAGTTCTCACTGCTGTTTTAAATTCCTCAATGACAGTTCCTCTCCCCGCCTTTGTAATTTCTTCCAGCCTTTGAACCCTCTAAGGTGTTTTCAATTCTGGTCTTATGACAATCTCCAATTTTAATACTCTAACATGATCGCTATGCTGCCAAATGTTCTGGAATCTGTGTATTTCTTCTTGCCTTTAAGAAACTATTTAAAATCAATTTCTTTGACCAATCTTTTGGTTGTCTTCTTTAATAGCTCCATGTGCGATTATGCTTCAAACTGTGCTCGATAACACTTATATTGCTCCTTGGAACATTACCCTACTGTAAAGGTGTAATAATAAATATGTATAGGAATGCACGTTTTTGTTGGGTGACACTGCTCAATGTTATAGTGACTGACTTTCAAGGTGAGAGTGGGGGCACTGAGTTGCCATCCAAAATCAGGATTTCAAATTGTGGAAATACGTGGCACCACATTCAAATGAAAACAAATGGAAATAGGATATTGAAGGAAGTGAGAGTGGAAATTACAGAGGCACTGTTCATAACTTTCAGTCTTTCTTAGACTCAGGAGTGATGCTCGAGGACTGGAGAATTGCAGTTCAAGTAACTTCAGTGATGGGAGAACATCTTCAACAAATAAATCTGAATAAAATTAAGAGTCACATGACAAACGTGGATCAATTGAGATGAGCCAGCACGCTTTCTTAAGGGAAAATCATGTTTAACTGGCTTGCTGGAGTTTTTTTGGAAGAGGAAACAGAGGGGGTTGATGAGGACAATACTGTTAAAGTGTTGTATATGGATCAACAGCCAACATGTGCACTGAATTTTGATTTTTAAAAAGTCTCATTTCCTCATTCCTACCTCCCTGGATTATTACAGCATTATTCTGAGAGGTTATTGTTAATTCCTGAAGACACCAACACAATCCAAGAGTGTTTGCAACAATCCTTGTCCAAATGTCTTCTCCACCACTTGCCCAGGCCAGTGATTCATACTCAATGTTATCTCAGCATGGTAGTTATCACAAGATCAGTCCAATCCTCTTCTCATCCACCAAACTACAGTCAGGGTTAGCAAATTTGATTTGTGTTTTGACAGCCACTGATAATCCAGACGTCTAGGCTAAAATCCTGGGGAGATTGGTTCAAATCCCACCACAGCATCTGCCGGAAATTAAATTGAATTCATATAGGTGAAATATAAAGCTAGTCTCAGTATTCCCTGACAACAATCATTGATTCTTGTAGAAACCCTTCTGGTTCACTAATGCTCTTTGGGAAGGAAATCTAACACTCCAGACAAAGAGCCGTATGGTTGGATTTAACTACTCTCTGCGTATGGTCCAGCAAGCTACTCAGTTAAGTGTAACTTAAAATAGTCAACAAACTGGGGCTTTGCCAGCGTCACCCACATTCCACGGGAAAGAAAAACAAAAGCCCAGGGCTGCTGTGATTTCCCTCACCCCTTTCAGCAAATACACCACCAAGAGAAAATGGGACTAACCAAAATGTTTCAGCAAGTGCTCAAAGTCAGGCTTGCCATCCCCTTTCACCCACTCTTGCCTGCTCCTCCAGCCTTCCGTAAACTCGGGCGACAGTATGCATGGGAAATTAGGAAGCAGAAAATCCCTGAAAAACTGAGAGTAACTCCAATCTGATTTCCATAAGTAATCAGGTTTTCGACCTTTACGAAACTCTCCATATGAAGGCCTGTCACTCTGGAAGAATACCAGTGCACTCTTCAATGTTTCCTCGTCCATGTTTCAGCAGTCAGGAATTTCACTCCTAATAACCCTCATATTAAATGATCAGAATCCTGCAGCTTTTCTTTCCTCCATGTTCCTCGCTGAACTACTGCAAATGCTGATTCTATTTCAAGGGCAAAAAGGGTGGTTGTAAAATGTATCAGAAATCACTTTCAATCTATAGTCCAGCTGATCAGATTTATACAGTAAACCAGCCCGTCAGTGATTAAGTCTGTCGCCCCGGACAGCTGCCCGTTGGCGGCAGGGTGTCTGTTATTCAGACCAACTCCATCTTTACTGAAACAGACCGAAATTTCACAAACACGGCGGACATGCCACAACCGTACACCGGGAGGTTGGGGCGCAGCCGCAGATACCAGACCGGAATCAACGAGTAAAAGATTCCTGTAAGAGGAGGGCGGGGACTTGTGATTGACAGGTAACGGGGAAGGGGTGGGGTCAGTGTGTGACTGACAGGAACGGTGGAAGGAAGGGGTGGGGTCAGTGTGAGATTGACAGGAACCGGGGAGGGGGTGGGGTCTGTGTTTGATTGACAGGAACGTTGGATGCGGGGGTCTGTGAGTGATTGACTGCTATCGTGGAGGGGTGGTGTCAGGGAGTGATTGACTGGTTTGGGGCGGGGGTGGGGACCGTGTGTGATTGACAGCATCAGGGGATTGGGTGAGTGATTGTCAGGGTGTGATTGACAGGATGCTGGAAGAGGGTGTGGTCAGTGTGTGACAGGCTGTAACGGGGAAAGGGCGGAGTCAGGGCATGATTGACTGAAACTAGTGAAGGGGTGGAGTCAGTGTGTGATTGAC